AATACATCCTCAATTATATTACATAAAAAAGGGTTTATGAAGTATGCAAACGTACATTTAAATATTTTCAAATCGGCAACTCTTTTTTCAAAATCTGCTTTTAAATCGTGTGCAATATTTTTTTCTAGCCATTGAAAATGATGAAATATTCTTTTTTAAAGATCATGAATAAAAAGACGTAGCTAAGTTTCAAAACTTAAAATAATTTGCGACAAATCAAAAACATTTCTATTCTCTCCTTATAGAGACAAATTCAAGTTTTCCAAATGTTCCATCATATCGGTAAAAAACATAAGTCAGAGAGCCAATTTTCATTCATTAAAATAATTTGCGACAAATTAAAAACTTTTTTATTTTTNAAAATGATGAAATATTCTTTTTTAAAGATCATGAATAAAAAGACGTAGCTAAGTTTCAAAACTTAAAATAATTTGCGACAAATCAAAAACATTTCTATTCTCTCCTTATAGAGACAAATTCAAGTTTTCCAAATGTTCCATCATACCGGTAAAAACATAAGTCAGAGAGCCAATTTTCATTCATTAAAATAATTTGCGACAAATTAAAAACTTTTTTATTGATTCCTTGTAGAGACAAATTTAAGTTTTGCAAATGTTCCATCATATCGGCTAAGAACAGAAAGCCAAGTNTCGGTAAAAAACATAAGTCAGAGAGCCAATTTTCATTCATTAAAATAATTTGCGACAAATTAAAAACTTTTTTATTTTTAATATTTTTATTGAGCTTTGTACCACGATTGTTTATTAGGAAAAATTGAAAAAGCAACAAAGTCTAAGCGGTAGAAGTTATAGCACTATTTCGGAGATCACCACATCTCCTCATCAGACTTCTTTTTNATTCATTTTCCTTATTCAACCAACTACTATCAAGTGCAGCTGATTTGCCGCTATTTAAACTCGACAGCGTGGTTGTTGTTGTCAATTCTATACATCCATTTGCTTATTTGCTTTTTTGTATAGTTTCAGGCAGGCTCTTCCTAAACTATGTATTTGTCAACGTTATTGTGGCTTGTTAACTTTTTTATTGATTCCTTGTAGAGACAAATTTAAGTTTTGTTGTTAAGTTAAGTTCCATCATATCGGCTAAGAACAGAAAGCCAAGTTTCATTATCCAATTGCGGGTAATGTTCCGATCTCAATTTCCGTATGTGTATATATATACAAAGAATAAAATAAAAAAAACAACACAATGGAAGAGAGTGTCCAGCAAAGAAATGTGTTTTTTTAAGTAAAAAGAGCCAAAATGTGCTTAGAATATTTTGGCTCTTTTTACTTTTTAAAATATATATTTCTTTGCTGGATATTCTTTTCCATTGTGCTGTTTTTTTATTTTATTCCTTTTATATATACACATACGGAAATTGAGATCGGAACATTACCCGCAATTGGATAATGAAACTTGGCTTTCTGTTCTTAGCCGATATGATGGAACATTTGCAAAACTTGAATTTTTCTCTACAAGGAATCAATAAAAAAGTTTTTAATTTGTCGCAAATTATTTTAAGTTTTGAAGCTAATCTACATATTTTTATACATGATCTCAAAAAAAAAGAATATTTCATCATTTTCCATGGCTAGAAAAAATATTGCACATGTAAAAGAAGATAAATTGGACCCCTATGCCGCAGAACTACATGATTTAAAAGCAGATTTTGAAAAAAGATTTGCCGATTTGAAATTATTTAAATGTACGTTTCATACTTCATAAATCCTTTTTTATGTAACATAATTTAGGATGAATTTACAATATCCGAAATACTCCTTTTTATGAAAAGTGAAGAAGCGTTTGAGTTTTTGGAATTAAAAGAAGATAAGGCACTGGAAATGCAACATAAAGCCTTGCCATTGCTTGAATTCCGGCAACTACTTGAATTCCGTCAAGTACTAGATTTAAAATTCCTCTGTTGAAAACAGCTGCGTGCCGTATATTTTCAATTTTTGGTACAACGTTTAACTAGTACCTTGTTTATACTTACGAGAGAACCGCATTAACAAAAACTCGATTTGACTCCACACATATTTCCTTCAGGCGTTTATACCGGTGTAATTTCCGCGCACTCGCTGAAACCGTATTCAAAAGGAAACAAAAGTTGTTATTTTTACCTATTCCATATTTCTTTAATAAATAATTTGCGCGGTGGACCGAAATGGAAGCGAACAAGAATTCAAATTTGTTATAATAATGATTAAATTTTAAAACGGGCTGTATATTTTTCACTTCGCGTCAAATGAATGATGTGTTTATACCTGTTTTCTAACCGATGTGAGAAATAAAAGAGCGATTTTAAAAAAATTCGAGTCAACACACTTTTGAATTTCTGAGCGTATTGAAAGTTGGTTTATGCCCATGGTACAATTACTAAAGGTATTGTCTTCCCAGAGAGCGCATATTCCGATCTGCCATATTTGAAGAACATCATTGTTGCCCAACACCACCACCAAAAAGTTTACTGTAAGGGAAAAGGGGCATTTCTATACACCAAGAACCATATACTTTACGTATTTTTGTAAACAAACCTTCTTGCAGAGAACTTATTCAATTTGCAAAAGCCGAAAAAAAACATTTGCTTACTAAACAAACAAATTTAAAATTTTTATTTCTCACTATATTTCAAAAGTTTTTTCTTTTGTTTTAAAATTTTTTTTTTTAATAAATTGAGTGAAAACAATAAGCGAAGCCAACTAAAAGTAAAAGGATCAACATTGAAATGCGNTAAAAGAAGATAAATTGGACCCCTATGCCGCAGAACTACATGATTTAAAAGCAGATTTTGAAAAAAGATTTGCCGATTTGAAATTATTTAAATGTACGTTTCATACTTCATAAATCCTTTTTTATGTAACATAATTTAGGATGAATTTACAATATCCGAAATACTCCTTTTTATGAAAAGTGAAGAAGCGTTTGAGTTTTTGGAATTAAAAGAAGATAAGGCACTGGAAATGCAACATAAAGCCTTGCCATTGCTTGAATTCCGGCAACTACTTGAATTCCGTCAAGTACTAGATTTAAAATTCCTCTGTTGAAAACAGCTGCGTGCCGTATATTTTCAATTTTTGGTACAACGTTTAACTAGTACCTTGTTTATACTTACGAGAGAACCGCATTAACAAAAACCCGATTTGACTCCACACATATTTCCTTCAGGCGTTTATACCGGTGTAATTTCCGCGCACTCGCTGAAACCGTATTCAAAAGGAAACAAAAGTTGTTATTTTTACCTATTCCATATTTCTTTAATAAATAATTTGCGCGGTGGACCGAAATGGAAGCGAACAAGAATTCAAATTTGTTATAATAATGATTAAATTTTAAAACGGGCTGTATATTTTTCACTTCGCGTCAAATGAATGATGTGTTTATACCTGTTTTCTAACCGATGTGAGAAATAAAAGAGCGATTTTAAAAAAATTCGAGTCAACACACTTTTGAATTTCTGAGCGTATTGAAAGTTGGTTTATGCCCATGGTACAATTACTAAAGGTATTGTCTTCCCAGAGAGCGCATATTCCGATCTGCCATATTTGAAGAACATCATTGTTGCCCAACACCACCACCAAAAAGTTTACTGTAAGGGAAAAGGGGCATTTCTATACACCAAGAACCATATACTTTACGTATTTTTGTAAACAAACCTTCTTGCAGAGAACTTATTCAATTTGCAAAAGCCGAAAAAAAACATTTGCTTACTAAACAAATTTAAAATTTTTATTTCTCACTATATTTCAAAAGTTTTTTCTTNATTTGCTTACTAAACAAACAAATTTAAAATTTTTATTTCTCACTATATTTCAAAAGTTTTTTCTTTTGTTTTAAAATTTTTTTTTTTAATAAATTGAGTGAAAACAATAAGCGAAGCCAACTAAAAGTAAAAGGATCAACATTGAAATGCGTCAAAATGAAAATAAGGGAGCACGAATTTCGATGTGAAGTAAAACTCTCTGGAAAGACAATACCTGTAATAATTGTACCATGGTTTATGCCTCCGTTTTGAATCACAGCGAACTGGGTCAAAGCGCTTTATGTGTCGGTATAAACAAAGTATGTGAGTCTTTGTACTCTACAATGAAATTCGTAAATTCAAAATACCGTTCATAATTGATTAACCAACATTGAACAGAACTGTTTCGAAGGGCTTTAACTGACGTAAAACCAGATTTTGAAAATTTGACCAAATGGATCTTTTGAATTTTCTTTAATATCTATCTTACTACATTAGAATAATGATAAAATTAATGTTTTTCATTTCTAATAATAATTTTATTAAAAAAAAAAAAATTTTTTTTGTGGTTTTTTGTGGCTCTTTGTAGCATTTAGTATTTACATGTGGTTCTTTTCGGCCTCGGCCTTGCCCACCCCTAGCATATGCAATGAATTTGTGCCCATTAGCGGCAGCACAGTTAGTGAATCTCACAATCGTTACTGCAAACAACAAAAATTGCTAGCTTACAACTCGACAAGTCGCTTTGTTAAAAGTTAGTGAATCGCACTACTGGTCGAAATGTCACATAACTAAATCAGCTGACCAAAAGGTTACAAGCATACATAAATATGAACGCAGGATTGTGATTACCTCAAGTGTCTTTTTTGTCAGCTATTCATAAAAAGTATTGCACGTTAGCTAATAGTGTCATAATCTCCTTTCTTATCTATATAATTTTTAAGCATAGTAAATACATATCGTCGATGTTTTTGCAAAACCTCCTAAATCGCCGGTGTGGCAAAAATGAGATTTGGTAACCCTGAACTCCAGGCATCGAGATTTATGCATAAAAATCATATAATTGTTATTAAAACAACAGATTTTTAAAATAATAGCTAGAGAAAATACCGCCTCTCAAGGCAATGCCTTCAAAGAAAAACCGTTTTTTCGCTCTCCTATAAAATTTGAGTGCCGTAAGATAGGCGGTTTTGCAATTGGTCGATGGGCGGTTTTGCAAAAACATCGACGATATGTATATACATTTATACATACATACCTGAGGTACAAACTGAAACTGGGCAATAGCGTCGGGATATGATATAAAGGCCAATCCAGTGCCACTACGTACTACTTCACTAATGTTGTCAGCATTTAAGTTGAGCGCCAGGTTTCCTAAAATCCCGAAGATAGTAATTCCAGCCAATAAAGACGTAAAAGTGTCCAAAGTGGTTACTATCATAGAATCTCTGACAAATGGAAAATAATAAATTACTAAATAAGAACTTCGACCGAGACACACTTGTGCATCTGTCCAGAGAATAACTACCGGTAAACATTATACCGAAAACGGTTATGCGATGAAAATGTCGCAATCGGGCCAAAGCAAAGAGCCAAAGAAAAGAAACACTGCACAACAGCTTCCTTCCATACCTGCAAAAATTAAAATAGACCCTTAATACATACCTTTAGAATTTGTTTAGTTGTAGTGTATTATACTATACATACCTTAATATATAATAACTTATCCCATTCAGGTTTTAGGAAAAATATAATGCCATCTCCGGCTCCCTCCAATGTGACTGACCTTATAAGTAACGTAATTAATACTACGTAAGGGAATATTGCCAGAAAATATGCGACTTTCCCCAAACTTCGGATTCCTTTAATGATAATGAAATAAGTGACGATCCAAGCAAACAAGAGAGTTAATGTTAGCCGCCAACTAGGTACTCCAATGCCGTCGGATATGTCCTCAAGTTCTCTAAGCACAGTTTTACTACGTACGATTTTATAAAGTTAATTTTGATCTATATACATACATATATAAAAATATTATAAAAAAGGACAAACCTGAAATACAGCTCAGAACTGCTTTGCAACCTTTCGGTCTGATTGTTATCTTCATTATTTAAAACACTGGAGCTTACGCAATTTGCTCCCCATTCATCCCTACAAAGTGCCCACGGTAATGGCGATTGAAATGATGCAATAAAATAATAAACAGTAAGAGCTATCAAGGCTGAGTAATATGTTAAAACTGCTAGCGTCGCGAATGATTGTCCGATGCCCACACCTGCAATATACATGTACATATACATATATGTGTAATATTTATGTACAATTGAAAATATGAGTTCAGGAATTCATATAAGTATGTGAATATGTATACCCATAATTGATAACTCACCCAAAAATACTGGGCAGGCTGCCCATATTTTTACAGAACTTTTACTGGAAAACTGACCCAAAAGCGCTTCCATGTAGTACATTGGTTTGCCTAAAAAGCATTTAAAAAATCAAATTAGAACATTATGATTCTCAAGTGTGTATTCGAAAAAATTTGGATTCTCAAATTAATAACTAAGGGTCAATTACAGGTCTATTATGCGCTGGTAATAAAAAGTTTGTAACCGGTAAATAAAGTTCCTGTCAATTTTTAAACCCTTTTCGCATTCTGTGTACTTTTGTAACCGGTAATTTTTGTTACCATCTCATAAGCTGGTAACAAAGTATTGCCCCGTGAAATATACAATGCTAGAAATTGCACAATTCTTCATAGCTGAATTGCTGAATATTTTAACTGCATTACCAACGTACCTAGAATCGCGGTGACAAGAACTGGTAACATTTTTTGGTAATAAAATTTTCCGATTTCAAAATCATCGGTAACGTGCAGAATAGACCTGTTAATAGCAAAGTATTCTGGATTGTAAATTTTTGACAATTATGAGGTAAATAAAAATTGCCAAGCCAGTAGGGCTAGTGAAAAATTCTACAGCATAAAGCACACCTACCCGACGGTTTTGAAATGATTTTCGTTCTAATATTATTGCTAAGACGTGTAATAAATGAATGGCTCTCAGTTTTAGAAGAGTTAAAATCAGCAAAGCCATTTTTTATATAATTGCTGCATTTTAATTGCTAAACTTCTTCTGCATCAGAAAAACTGTCAAAACTTTCCAGCAGTAAAAAGTTACGAATTGGCACAGCAGAAATGTAAAATCACCATATTAAAAAGTTTATTCACTATGGAACTTTGCTACTGATTGGCACAGGCCCAATGCAAAGCTTTCTCTACAGCTCAATGCGAGCGTGAACATGAATCTATGGCGAACATGTCGGATTCACAAAGGCAAAGAATTCCATTCGCATTCTTTTGCATGCTCACACACATCTGTTAAATTGAATCTATATACCGTGCCGTGCTGAATACGTAGCGGGCTTGTTCGAGTTGCAATCACAACCGCAGTGTTCCGCGAATGATTAAAGTATCGCGTTCTGTGTGAATTTCTAGCAATGAGCAGTTGCAACAATGTTGCCATTTTTCATCAGTACGGCAGTAATGCCGCTTTTATTATGTGCCTCGAACAGGCCCAGACTTTCCATTCACATGCGAATGCTGTAGGATGCTAAAGAGGGAAGCGAGACGCAATAAGAAAAGAGAATAGTAGCAGCACTGAGAGCTGTGGAGAAGACGAGCCCGAGCCCCCAGTCGGCGATGGCGTGTGATTTCTGTAATCTGATGATAAGAGCTGCAGAACTGTACAGCTCAGGAAAAATTTACTACAAGAGCGTGCAATTTCTGGCGTAGTCTGGCTTTTTCAAGATGGGTAAGGAAGTAAAGCGAATGGGTCTGGTACATACTATAAGTCACTCATTATTCCTGTGCTGGTATATGACAACATCCGATGAGGTGGCTCTTGGAGTATTCGAAAGAAAGCTTTGGGGAAGGTAAGCTGGCGACGGCGAGTGCCGCATACGATGGAAAGATCAGCTGAATGAGTCCTACAACCACATGGATATAGTGCAGCGGCTCTGCTGGTTTGGCCATGTCGTTCGAATGGACATCGCCGCTTCAGCTATGAAAGTATTCAACTCGGAACCCGCTGGTGGTAGCAAAGGAAGAGGGAGGCCGCCACTGCAATGGAAAGACCAAGTCGAGAAGGACTTGGCTTCACTTGGGATTTCCAATTGGCGTCAGTCGGCAAAGAAGAGAAACGACTGGCGTGCTTTGTTGAACTCGGTCAGAATCGCTTAGACGGTTACAGCGCCAAATAAGGAGAAGATTTCAGTTCTCAATCTTTTGATATAAATATTAACTATTGCAAAAAGTGGAGTAATAACGACGATATTTCTCAAAATTAAAAGTTCACGTTCGCGCTCGCGCTCGCATTGAACAATATAGAGGACTTAGTGTTTTAAACACATGCCGGCGAACTCACCACAGAAAAAATTCTCCCAAGAATTGTTGATAGAGACTAGGGATGTCAGTGGCAAAAATACATTGATGCTTTTCTTTGATTCGATGCGTTGAAATGTACATCGATATTTTTCGATGCATCGTGTGCCTAGTGGAACTTTTAGGAGCCTTTACAATTTTTTGGTCAAAGCCACTTCTCTCTTTAGTACAATTGAAAAAACTGGAATGACGGTTAAATAAACTGTGATGTTGTTTGCAAGAACATCGATGCATCGATACATCGACTATTTCCACTTTATTTCGAACCAGTATGCGGAATTGTTTCAATTGACCTTATTTCCGTTGATTTTGTTACCTGTCACCTTTTACGGGTTAAGTGTCAATATATAGAGCTTACATATATTTACTTTGGGTAGTGCATGTCTTCTTACCACCAGTGTGTTTTTGCCGTCCCTTTTCAAACATTAAATTTGCGTAGCTTCGCGCCTCACCGAGTCGCGCCGCTTTCATTTCCAAATTTTTGTTGACTTTATTTCGCTTTTTAAAAGGTAATAATGTCAANTATGCGTTGAAATGTACATCGATATTTTTCGATGCATCGTGTGCCTAGTGGAACTTTTAGGAGCCTTTACAATTTTTTGGTCAAAGTCACTTCTCTCTTTTGTACAATTGAAAAAACTGGAATGACGGTTAAATAAACTGTGATGTTGTTTGCAAGAACATCGATGCATCGATACATCGACTATGTCCACTTTATTTCGAACCAGTATGCGGAATTGTTTCAATTGACCTTATTTCCGTTGATTTTGTTACCTGTCACCTTTTACGGGTTAAGTGTCAATATATAGAGCTTACATATATTTACTTTGGGTAGTGCATGTCTTCTTACCACCAGTGTGTTTTTGCCGTCCCTTTTCAAACATTAAATTTGCGTAGCTTCGCGCCTCACCGAGTCGCGCCGCTTTCATTTCCAAATTTTTGTTGACTTTATTTCGCTTTTTAAAAGGTAATAATGTCAATTGACTTTATTTCGCACCAGTATTCGAAATAGCGTCAATTGACGTTATTTCCGTTGATCTTGTTACCTGTCACCCTGTAAAAACTATATGGTTGTGAAAACATCCAGGTCTAAAGAACTTCATATTGAATTTTATTTTATTGGTAACCTGATGAAATTACGTCACGTCGGAAGCTGAAGTAAATGCCAAAGCATTACAAATGATTTTCGTATCTACTTAGAAGACAATTTTTCAGAAGAATGTCGCCACTTTCGTGCCCAGTGCAGTATAAAATAATTATCGTTTTTTTTATTTTTCCTATAAAAGTTAGAAAGAACATACATACATTTAAATTATGGGACAATAACAGGCTGAATAGCTTTCATTGTTTCTTGCAAAATGCGACTTCTCTCTAACTCTCTCTAAATAAATAAAAAAAACCTACCTGAAAATTCAATTAGTAAAAAAGACTGTTACGTTACAAATAGTTTTTCAATGAAGAGTAAAAGGAACTATTTTATTTTATTGTGAAAGAAGGCTGAAAATGCTCCAAGAAAACTAGATTTCCCATTTTTTAGCCTGGTGGATTCCGCGCCAAAAAACGTTTTGATATTTTGAACTGTTACATTACATTAAAAAGTACTGCCGGCTTTGTTTTCATATAGAAAGCTAATCACTAATATTTTTTTTAGTAGCTTCAAAGTAGAGATGGGCGCTGGAGTGATTTTGACCCACGTTCACGCACGCTCACGTTGATGGTTTTGTAAATCGCGCACACTCACGCTCTGTTGTATTTTTTTCAATCACGTTAAGGCACGCTCACGACGCCCAGTTTTTTGATCACGCACACTTCTTCACTCACATTTTTGTTCAAATTGAAACTTTATTTATATGTACATATAAATTTATATGTTCATATAAATAGGCTTTATCGCACAGGCATTGCAACAAAAGCTTGACCAGTCAATATTCATTCAATGTAATTTTAAAATGACATTATCTCATAATTTTGTTTAAATCGTGTTTGTTTCACCAATCGTGTACGTCTTTGTTCTAGAATTCTGTCTGACACAGAAAAACAGCCTGATTTTTTAAATAAAATCTGGGCTCGAATCGTCACATCCGTTCACGGATCGAAAACGATACGAAAGAAAATTACGTGATACGTCAGGCAGTATAAGCTGAATGGGACAAAGAGTACGTTCACGTATATCATGATCCGAAAAATGTATTTTTACGTGACGAATAGTACGATATCGTATGTGACGATTCGAACCCTGTATTTTCGCATTAATGACTTCAAAAACTGATTCTACAGATTCATACCTGCATATCTTTGAATTCGTCAAAACTGAATAAGGTAAATAGATTAAACAGTAGTTGTTTATGATTTTATTTTGGGTGAAAATACACATTTGTATGTATGTACATTAGGGTGGGTCAAAAAAAATCAAGTATTTTTTTTTTGGATCCGACCCACGAAAACTAGTTCCTAGAAAGTACTTACCAAATCTGAGCTCTTAATATTAACGGGAAGATTATGCTCATCATAGTTTTCCATTTTCAATTTAGTCTCATATAAAAATGGTCATATCTTATCACCAATAGATCGTTAAACCAGTTGCATCGTAAATATTTATAGGAAATTGAACGCTCTACAAAAATGGTCTGTTATACTCTTTTCATTAATCTAACCATTTAAAAGATATTGAAGGTCAAAGATTGAAGTATTTTAAAGAAAATAACTTTTTGTTTGTAACTAACTAAAAAATAATTATTGTCAAATGAGTTTCAATTATTTCTATAGGAAATTGAACACTACAAAAAAGGTCTCATGTAGTTAATCGATTACTCTAACCATTTAAAAGATATTCGCAGTAGAATCCCAATGCCTGATTTTAATAGTTTTTCAATAAATATTTTCCATTCAATTTATGAATTTTGACAATAAGTGAGAATTTGAGTTTGTCAATTTTTATAAATTCAATTTTCAATCAAGTCAATTTTTATAACTTAAACTAAAAGAAAAAATATATTTTTGTATCAATACTGTATTGAATTATAAAATTTCAAATGGCG